ATTTCAAAATACTGAAATCCTCTGCATCACAGAATTGCTGTAGTCTGTACAGCGCCAGCGGCGGCTCCAGGCACCAGCGCTCTAAGCACGTGCCTGGGGCGGCAAGCCGCAGGGGGCCACCTGCGAGGGCAGCAGTCAGGCAGCCTTCGGCAGCTTGCCTGAGGGAGGTCCACTGGGCCCGTGGATTTGTGGCAATTCGGCGGTGGGTACGCCGAATCCGCAGGACCGGCCGACCTCCTGACCTCCCTGCCATGCTTGGGGTGGCAAAAAAGCTAGAGCCGCCCCGTACAGCACTGCTCATTCCCAGTGTAGCTAGCTGTTTGTGCAATGCTAATAGCTCAGTGGATTCATGTGGAGTGACCTGACACTGAGGAAGAGAAGGTGGCCAGGGAGGTGAGATAGAATCCCCCCTACCCCTCCACACACGGATTAACCCACAAAGGCACCCATATTTTGTCAGATCTCCTTTGCTGATGGGAAACAGAGAATCCCACTGGAGATTCCTTCGGTAAAAGCAGATTGCACTCTGCAGCGGTGGCGTCCCCGAGTTTCCTGTGCACTGCGCTACAGAGATACGGATCTGGATAATCTCTTATTGAAAGTACTGTATTTCCCGATAGAGGGAATCCCTCCCAGTGTTGTGGATTCACAGGAGAAGTCAGCAGTTCCTGCTTATAGCCGGGAGTCCCCATTTTTGAGCAAGCCTGGATACTTGCCCTATGTAATACAGCACCATACAGGGGTAGCAATGCCGGGCTGCAGTCGCCCAGTGAAATGATTGAGAGCCTGAAGCGCTAGGTTATACTTGCTCTCAGGGGTGAAAGTAACTTAAAGGACTTACCGGAATGCCAGAGTCCTGAGTGGGGGTGTGGCCTCAACCAGAAGAGGCATGGCCTCAACCAGAAGAGGCGGGGCCTTTCAAGATTTAAAGGCCCTGGGGCTCTGGCTGTGGCTGGGAGCCCCAGGGCCTTTAAATCACCTCGGAGCTACCAGCTGCAGAGGTGGCTGGGAGCCCTGGGGCTCAGGAGCATATTAAAGGGCCTGGAGCTCCGGGCCCTTTAAATCATCTTGGGAGCCCAGCTGCCAGAGCTCTGGCAGGGATTTAAAGGGCCCGCGGCTCCTCGCAGTGGCTGGAGCCCTGGGCCCATTAAATCACCGCCGCGGAAGCCAGTCTAGTCTGGCACAGCGTACTGGCTCTTACCGGTACGCCGGACCGGACTGGACTCGCTTACTTTCACCTCTGCTCACTCTATTCCTTTATTTTCCTTGCTCTTCCCTGCCCTCAGTAGGAGGGTGTTGATTTCCCTTGGATTGCAACAAAAATTTTTCAAGACAGGAAATTAAGGCCTGGAAAAAAGAATGGCTAGAAGACTGAACCCCAGTATCAGTCTGCAGCCCACACCTACCACAGCACATCCATAATGTGACACAGTGATAAAGCAATCTCCCAGTCACACCCTATGTCTCACTGTCTATTTGTCTCAACTGGCTCTTGTGGCACTGGATTCTTTGGGCTGACTGCACGCTGCATAAAGAATTATTTCCATCTATTGGTTCTAAATATACTGCCCTTTGATTTCAAGCATCCCCTTGTTCTCATGTTATGGAGTAAGGTTAAAAAAGGAACTGAACAGTTTTCACTTAGCTATCATTGAATAGTTCTACCTTCTATCCATTCTTTTTTCCAGGCTTTAATTTCCTGTCTTGAAAAATTCTTGTTGCTATTTTTTTTTAAATGAAGTAAAATGTCATTGCTTTATCATCCCTTTATGCAGAGAGTGGTTGAAAAGTTTTTGTGTTGTGCTAGAAAATTCTTTTGGTGATTTTTGCAAAACTGAAATAATAGGGTTTTGGGGGTTTTTGTTATTTATTGAGACAGACAGATAGATAAGCAAGGCTTGCCCAGATCTCTAATTGTCCTTCTCTGAACGTTTAGAACCTCGGCTATATCTTTTCCAAAGAAAGGTGGCCAAAAGTGGACACACTCATCCTGTGTGCAGAAAGGGCAGGACTCTGAGACAGTTACTCTAGGTGTCCCAGATTTTTAAAGCTAGCTCCTCAGCTGCCATAAATCAGCATTGCACCATTGATGTTAGTGGAGTCGGGTTGATTTTTTCAGGGCTGGCTGGAAAGTGTTAGTTTTATTCACGCAGAAAGTTTCAGTGAAAAACAAACAATTTTTTGTTTGTTTTTTTGTTGAAATTTTCAGCAGAAAATTTTTACTTTTTGTCCCAAAACTGCCAAAACAATATAAATTTTGGGCCAAAAACTGAAAAGATGTTCAGTTTTCAGATGAATATTTTCGGTTTTACGTCTATCAAAAAAACTGAGGAAAGCAGTAACTTTCCATGAAAATTGTTTGATCTAAAAGCCTATTCTCCATCAAAAAAAATTTTCAACTGGTTTTACTGATTTATACCAACTGGAGGATCCATAGCATCCAGGATTTCTCATTCCCAGATTTTCCTACATCTATACTTCTACTGAGTAGTAAGGGGACAAGCGGCACTGGAAGGAGAGCAGTAGATGAGAAGGGGAGAGAGAAGAGAAGGGTGATAACAGGAGAGAGAGAGAGAGAAATGAGACCACAGTAGGACGTCCATCGGAATCTGTGTCTCGTGTCAATCAGGCAGTAAGGGCTGGTTTCCATAAAGCCAACTGGGCCATATGGAAGGTGTAACAGGGAAGGGCTGAATCACCTGACAGTAACATCAGAGAACAAATGAGGTTTATGAGAGTTGAGAGTTAAGCTTATGACAATAGGTGAAAGCCTTGTGCAGAATAGGCGGGAGATCCCTTCTTCAACTTTCTACTCCCTTTCAAAGTTGCAGTAAGACTTACGCATTCTCACTCCTGGTCCCCCCTGACTATTTTAATATGGCTGTCCCACTGCCTAGAGTACTCTGATTCAATTCAGCTAATACCCAGATCCTCCCATCATGTATGCCTGGTTGGCTAAGTGAGTGGATGGATAGCTATAGGTGATCATCTGTATGGTTGACATGTTGATTATCCATGGCTACTGTGTCACAGCTTGGAGGGGGAGAGAAGCAAAGAGACACAGGTGTGACAAAGTGGGACTGTTCTTAATGTTTCCTCTGAATACTGTGTGGGTGCCTCAGTTTCCCATATGCATTTCTTAAGTCTCCAGTGTGCATAAATGGCCGACAATCTGTCTCCTAGCAACAAATGGCCAGGGCCCTTCCCCCCTTGCAAGGGGATAGCTAAAGGTGAACAAAGAGATCAGGTGACCTCTGGCCCGGGAAAGAGACAAAGGCCAGAAAGGAGGGGCTGGAGGGGGTTGCAGTTTGGAGCTGGCTGGGGACGGGGAGTGAGTGCAGACGTGGGTGTCTGGCTCGCTGTGCCCCAGAATGACCCAGCTGAGGGATCCCGTTCTATGTACCTACAAGCTCTGTTTTAGACCGTGTTCCTATCATCCAATAAATCTCTGTTTTACTGGCTGGCTGAGAGTCACATCTGACTGTGAAGTTGGGGTGTGTGCAGGACCTCTGGTTTCCCCAGGACCCTGCTATGACGGGTTGGATCACAGAAACCCCCTTGGGAGCTGCCACCTGATGTGCCAAGACTACCTCTGCTCCTGTTTTCCCTGCCAGCTCAGGACTCCACCACCCTGTCTTGCTGAGCCAGACTCTCCCATCTGCTCCAACACGGACCCAGGGTCTGAATCACTTGCCCCAAAGCTGCAAGTTTACTTGAAAACAGCTCACGGAAGTGTGCTTGTCTTTAGCACTCAGATTTCCAACTCCCAATGGGGTCTAAACCCAGATAAATCCGTTTTACCCTGCATAAAGCTTATGCAGGGCAAACTCATAAATTGTTTGCCCTCTATAACACTGATAGAGAGATATGCACAGTTGTTTGCTCCCCCAGGTATTAATACATATTCTGAGTAAATTACTAAATAAAAAGTGATTTTATTAAATACAGACAGTAGGATTTAAGTGGTTCCAAGTAGTAACAGACAGAACAAAGTAAGTCACCAAGCAAAATAAAATAAAATGCGCAAATCTATGTCTAATCAAACTAAATACAGATAATCTCACCAGTTCCAGAATGCTCCCTTTTACAGGCTAATCTCCTTTTAGCCTGGGTCCAGCAATCACTCACAACCCCTGTAGTTACTGTCCTTCAAGTATCCTGGGGGGGTGGAGAGGCTCCTTCTTTAGCCAGCTGAAGACAAAATGGAGGGGTCTCCCATGGGTTTAAATAGACTCTCTCTTGTGGGTGGAGACCCCCCTCCTCCCTCCTATGCAAAGTCCAGCTCCAAGATTGAGTTCTGGAGTCACCTGGGCAAGTCACATGTCCCTGCATGACTCAGTCTTTACAGGCCAAAGCCATTGTCCGCATGGTATCTTGCATGTCTCCAGGAAGACTTCTTATGTGGATTGGAGCATTCCTAGATGCATTATTCTCCAAGTGTTTCCTGATCAGGTACTTAACCTGGCGAATTCCTTCCTAAAGAAGCTGACCAAATGCCTCACAAAGCTTACTTAGAAACCAAGCCAGTATACAGCCCATATTCTTAACCTCAAGTAGAAAATGATATATATGTACAGATAGGATGAATAGATATAGTAGACCATAACCTTTACGGAGATATATTACATGGCACAGGCAGCACAAAACATATTCCAGTTATGTCATACATACATTTATAAGCACCCCTTCCCCATAAAGCCTTATGGGGTACACTGTCACACCCGCCTGGGCTGACTCGCTGTGGGAAGTGCACGGAGGGGCATATGCTGAATGCCCCAAGGTCAGACCCAGGAGGTGAAACTGTGTAAGCTTCTTACCCTGAAGACAGTCTGCTCCGAGGGACAGGAGGCTCCCCAAAGTCCTGACTGGCTTTGTGGGAAGCAGTTCCAGAGCATCGCCCAGGGACTCCGTGCATGGCTACTGTGTAACAGCTTGGAGAGGGAGAGAAGCAAAGAGACACAGGTAAATACAAAAGCCTGCAGAAGTTATGTCTGTTCCAGGTTTTCAAGAAGGTCTAGACAAGCAGGTGGCCTGTGGGAGCAGACAGCACACTCAGTTCTGTCTCGCTGACAGCGGAGAAGGGGAAGAGGATGAACTGGACAGAGGAAATGTTGTCAAAGTAAGGAACTGAGAGTTAATAGAAGAAGATGGGACTTATGTTTTAGAAAGGTGGTTATGGAATATGCACAAATCCCATACCGGTTCCTCTCCTCCCTTCTGTCCATGAATTAATGGAGCAGAGTTGTTCTCTACCTGTAACAGGCACAGATTGCCTAAGCACATACTTCAGGCACTTGTCTCCTAGGCGCTACATGGAGTCTACGTCAAGGGGACACAAATCAAATGTAGGTTTTTGTTGTTGTTGATGTTGTGTAGGGGTTGTTTTTTTAACTGAACAAAGAGAATGAGGCAACCTGCTTCTTCTCCGACCCTAGCTCGGTGTTTGTGAGAGAGCTCTCTGATTGTGACACCCACAAGTAGATTCCAGGCGGGGGGTTCCCAACATAGGTGTGTGGAAGGATGGAGTCGGGGCTCTGAGCTGAACTCCTGCATGATGGCATACATGTCTGGGGGCAGCACAGAGGAGGATTAATCAAGAGCACCTCTTAGTTACTATCAAAACATACAGTGGATGTGGCATCTTAAAGAGGGACAAGGGCATGATCAGGTCACCTATCAGAGAGTCACTTGAGAATAGAGCTGGGCAAACATTTTCAGCCGAAAAGTGCAGATTTGATGGCACCAAAACAATTTCATGCTAGTTTCACCCAATTGTTTGTCAGAAAGAAAACCTAAAAAAATTCCCCCCCCCAAAAAAGTCAGAATGAAACATTTCAATATTTTGGTTCAAAAGGACTTTTTGTTTCCAAGTTTCCTTTAATTTTATTTTTTTAATTAAAAATGTTTAAAAATGGAAACATTTAATTCAACCCCAATTTTTTTTCCAATTTACTAAAAATTCAGAAAAAAAACCTGTTTTCAGTTCAACCTAAAACAATTTTTTATAATTTTTCAGAATTACCAACAAACCGAAAAAATCCATTATTCACCCAGCTCTCCATGAGAAGCACAATTCCAGACTGGAGATGTAAAATCGGGGCAGGCCCTCAGTCACACAGATTCCTGGAGAACTTGCTGCACTTTTAACCTCCAAACCTTTGCCTGTGGTTTTTCCCGAATCCCCTCCTTGGCCTGCAGCAGGCCACAGTGTCATTTATTCCATGCTGCTGAGAACAAACTGGGTACCACACTGGCCATGTTTACAGATCCAGCCGGGGTAAAATTTGCTCCAGATTAAAAAGCTTCATGTACAGTAGATCTGGGAATGCCAAAACAGTGTGGCAATTAGCACAGCAATACTCTAAATGCTCCTACTGTTGCCTGGTAGTAGTGACTGTGAAGCTCTGGAGACAGGAGGAAAGACTGAGGCATGCTAGGTGGGAGACAGTATTTAACAATGTGTGTAATGTATCTGATTGTTTCTAAGCAGATGCTGGAGCAAGTGTTGAGGGAGCTGCAACCCCTGTGCAATGCGGAGCAGAGGTTTATTGAGAAATTCTTTATGCTGAGTCAGGATGCTGCAGACCAAGAGGGGCTGGGGGTAAGTCAGCTAAGTGAGCCATTGATCCTACCATGAGAGAGTTAACCTTTGGGAGCAAGGAGCTGAAATTAACCTGATGCTTGAGCAATTTCTTATCTAACTTAGCATCTCTATGATTGTGTCCCTAAGCTTGTATATGGAGTTGTAGTGTGAGGCACTATTACTTCTGCTGAGTTGACACATAAAATTTATCTTCCACCCTCCAAGTGGGAGAATGGAAGTCTCTCAAGAGGAATGGTACTCTCCCTCCCCCCCCCATTCTTTCTTTCAGCTACCTGCCACAAGCAAGGGAGGGAAGGATGTAGCGTTTCCTGAGAAGTCTCATTGGCCCAAGACTAAGACCGAGTACGTGGATGATAAGTGATCTGTCGTGCCTGGAATTCCTGGGAGTTTGTGTCTGAGGAATTGGCTGCATACGACAAGGGGTTTTTGTCTCATGACTGTGGTGATTTCATACCTCTCCACCCTTCATCAGGCATTTCAGGGGACACACCCCAACAGCACGCATTTGTGCAGCACCTAGCACAATGGTCTTCTGGTCCATGATAAATTTATGGAGAAGATGGTATGATGACATTGCCTACAGTAGCATATGGCCTATCCATGACTGCTATTAGCATATATTGCCAATGGCTGCTTATGGGACACTAGATGGGGAGGGCTCTGAGAATTCAATCCCAGGTGTCTGGCTGGTGGGTCTTGCCCGCATGCTCAGGTTCTAACCAATCAGCATATTTGGGGTCAGGAAGGAATTTTCCCCCAGGTCAGAGTGGCAGAGACCCTAGGGTTTTTCACCTTGCTCTGCAGCATGGGGCAGTGGTCACTTGCAGGTGTGAACTAGAGTACATGGTGGATTCTCTGTAACTTGAAGTCTTTAAATCAAGATTTGAGGACTTCAGTAACTCAGCCAGAGGTTATTTGACTATTACAGCAAATGCTATGAGGTTACAGCTCCTAAGCACTACTCTAATACAAATAACAGACAGACAGCCTGCATCTTAGTGGAGTATTTGGACATGCAAAGTAGATCTATCATTTTTGTCCCCTCTGTGGCAGTGACCTGGGAGCAGAGCTGGTTAGAAAATGGAATTTACGTTCCATGGGAAATTGACACTTTGAAATTTGCTTTCATTCTGAATCGGAACAAAAGTTGAAATTTACCACACAAATTCCAAAAAAATTGTATTTGGAATGATCAAATGTTTCATTCCAATGATGTCAAAACATTGTAATAAAAGAAGAGCTCGGTGTAATAGCTCAAAAGCTTGTCTCTTTCACCAGTAGAAGTTAGACCAATAAAAGATATCACCTTGTCTCTCTATTACATACAAATACTCATAGCGTTAAATATAATCCAGTAAACTCCCACTTATCCAAATGCCCTTTATCCAAAAATCCTAATTATCTGAATCCACAGTGTCTCCCGTGTAGCCCTAGAGTTAATCATCCACTCATAACTTCTCAATTAGCCTCTTAGCACCTGTTAGTGCTAATCAGTGACTTTGTATTGCAGCTACCTGCAGTTACTGAGCTCTAATCCTGTATCAGCAACAGCAGCAACTTGGCAGGACAGTTAAGACTAATTCAGAATTAAATGACGACCACAGTCATTTTAATACAATTTAGGTGTTTTAATAAATTCAGTAAAGTTTGTAATTTATTAAAGAGTAAAAAACCAAGGACAGTATTAAGCCACTCCCTTTGTTCTACATACTTCCACATCAGTGATGCTGCAGCTCAACAGCACTTCCAGTTATCCAAAAGTTTTGGCTGTCTTCCAGGGCATTCAGATAACCGGGTGTGTGCTGTATATCAGTAAAATATCAATAGTTCAATAGTTCATATCATATAAGAGTCAAAATAAAATGAATCAAAACACTAAAGTGGAAACAAACTGTTTTACATTATCAAAACAAAGGAAATCGACTTTCTCCCATCAACACAATCCCATGTTTTGACAAAACTGCATTTTCTAACCAGAGTCAGAAGATCTGCCTAGTGCAGTGTGGACACATCAGCATAGCTGCGAGACCCTGGTCCAGCAATTGTAGGGTTACTATGCAGTGAGGTCTCTTAGTGGGGAAAGGATAGCTCAGTGGTTTGAGCATTGGTCTGCTAAGCCCAGGGTTATGAATTCAATCCTTGAGGGGGCCACTTAGGGATCTGGGGCAAAATCAGTACTTGGTCCTGCTAGTGAAGGCAGGGGGCTGGACTTGATGACCTTTCAGGGTTCCTTCCAGTTCTATGAGATAGGTATATCTCCATATTTATTATTATTAAGCGCAGACTTGGAAACACCAAATCCATAAGCCTGGCTCCCACAGACCTGGCTAATCTTGTAGTATGGACACGCACACTGTGTCATTCAAAGGCATGTACTGTCCCGCCAAGAGAGGTAGGATGCTCTAATGGCAGGGCACTGGCTTGGGACTCAGGAGACATGGGCAAGGCAATGTTCTGCCACAGACTTGCTGTGTGACCTTGGGCAAGTCGCTTAGCCTCTTTGTGCCTCAGTTCCTGGTTATAAAGTTGGGATAGTGGCACTGTCCTACTGCACAGGGGTGTATATTCAGGATAACTACATTAAAGATTGTGAAGTGCTCAGATGCTATGGTAATGGCAGACTTATAACTACATAGGACAGATAAATAGGGGACTGTTGCTAAGTAATATCACAAGAAGACAGCTGGATAAGATTTGGCCCTCAGTCAATCCAGTACTTGAAGCCAGTTGGACAATGAATGAATGAAGTCAATGGGGCAAAAAAATGATGGCTTGTATTCAAATTACATTTACACTGGTGAAAATCAGGAGTCATGCCCATGGCTTACAGCCGTGTAAATGAGTGTGGAATAGGACAAAATTTGGGTCAAATTGCCTGAAATGTCACATGGGGGCTTAGCCTGCCAGTGTCACAGGACTCAGGGCAGTGCTGGTTAGTACCAAGTGTTTACTCAGCAGAGTGGTTGTGTGAAAGGGTTCTTTATCACTGCTTCTAGTCTGCTCACACGGGGAAACAAAGCACAGAAATAGGAGCAAATATATTATCAAGGTAACTGCAAGAATTCTGATAGTATTGTATCTTGGGACAGGATAGGACACTGGACTGGGGGTCAAAAGTGTGACCAGAGCTATTCATTAGGCATCCAAACCTTGACCATCGCAGTGTTATTGTTAAGTCACTGGTCATGGTAGGGCTATCACTTTAGACTAGGGGTCTCAAACTCAAGTGACCATGAGGGCCACATGAGTACTAGTACGTTGGCCCGAGGGCCGCATTTACTGACACCTCCCCACCCCACCGCCCTCGGCCCCACCCCCACTCCACCCCTTCCATGAGACCCCGCCCCTGCCCCCATTCCAACCCCTTCCCCGAAATCCCCACCCCAACTCCACCCCCTCCCTGCCCCCAGAGGGAGCAGGTGGGGTGTGGCGGGGGCTCCGGGCAGGGAGTTGGGGTGTAGGGTGCAGGAGGGGTGAGGGGTGCAGCAGGGGGCTCAGGTCAGGGTGTTGGGGTGCGAGGGAGGGGTGTGGGGTGCGGCAGGGGTTCAGGGCGAGGGGTCGGGGTGCAGGAGGGTGTGGGTGTGGCGGGGCTCCGGGCAGGGAGTTGGGGTGTAGGGTGCAGGAGGGGT